GCATGATTGAATGTTGTTTTATGGCTTATGCGTTGATATATGTGTGTGTGTTTCTGCACATCATGTTCTGAACGGCCTGTGATCAGAACGCTGTTGTGGCTTTTTATGGTAACTATAAACACAGAGACTTCCTTATCCAAGAATAGGGCAACATGAAAATGTGGCTCCTTAACATTCCTGGTGTGTTTATGTGGGTTGAAACAGCTGATATTATGATAATGAATTAATATGTTGTCTGTTTCATGCAAGATATCTCTTTCCAGATCTTGAAGGTCAAACTGCAGTGTTGTATTTTTGTGACCTTTGAGTGGCAATAAACATCAAACATGGTGTGCGTTACTGCGTTTGGCTCCAGATTTGATTGTATAGCGATAGTGACGGGTTGTATTAAATAAATCATTCTTGATAGTGGGTCAGATTGATTAGATTCAGAGAGGGAAATTTGCTGTTTGGGAACAGACGTGTGAACATGTGAGAAAATGTCTGCGTCAGTCATATGCATTGCTTTATATTTGACAGTTATTGTATTTGTTAGCAAGAATACTTATTTTCCACCATAATTTGCAAATAAATTCTTTAAAAATCCTACAATGTGATTTTCTGGATTTTTTTTCTCATTTTGTCTCTCATAGTTGAGGTATACCTATGATGAAAATTACAGGCCTCTCTCATCTTTTTAAGTGGGAGGACTTGCACAATTGGTGGCTGACTAAATACTTTTTTTCCCCACTGTATCTCTTTCCAGAACTTGAAGGTCAAACTGCAGTGTTGTATTTTTGTGACCTTTGAGTGGCAATAAACATCAAACATGGTGTGCGTTACTGCGTTTGGCTCCAGATTTGATTGTATAGCGATAGTGACGGGTTGTATTAAATAAATCATTCTTGATAGTGGGTCAGATTGATTAGATTCAGAGAGGGAAATTTGCTGTTTGGGAACAGACGTGTGAACATGTGAGAAAATGTCTGCGTCAGTCATATGCATTGCTTTATATTTGACAGTTATTGTATTTGTTAGCAAGACATTTACGAGCCATAGTTCCTGCTGAAATCCTCTTTTATGAGTCATGTTTGAAATGGCTGAGCAAGTTTGATTGCCAGCTTTTTGATTTGTGATGCAGTCTGGCTTTGAAAGTGCATGGCTGTTTTATTATTTTTCTATAAAGTCGTTTTAAAAAGAAAAGCAGCTTCAAAATATTTTTAAATTGCAGCATCAAACCAAAATACAAAAAAGTAATGACTTCAAATTTGAAAAAATAATGGTTTCCTTATCACTACACCTCTTCCACTGGACAGTCAAATAGAATATTGTGTTGGAAAGCGTCATAGTTTTTATATTTCTCATGGATATCAAACGGTGTGCTTCTAGCTAGGGTAGCAAAGGCTGAAGGGGCGTTCTGTGTCAATGCACATGATTTGGGTCAAATTGGAGTGTGAAGGTCGAAGCGCAGGAGGCATGTGTGTCATGTGGCTGCTCCAGATGCAGTGTGTACAGTTCTGTAAGATAAGTGTGTTCTTCATCAATAATATTTGGTGCTGTGAGTTCACATCATGAGCTTAAAGGGTTTTCAGAAACATGAAAATTTGGACAATAGCAAAGTTACAGAGAACACAAACAGAATGTGCATTAACTGAAGTGTATCGATTTTTAATGCTTGTAATCAGCCAATATTTGGCCATCTGAGATTATTGGTGCTCACCAATGAACATAACAGCATTCTCTTCAAAATCTACTAGCATAATTATTTTTATGCATTTGAGTAAATTCTGTGGAAAATATCTAATTTGGGGCTGAAAGTCTTCTGAAGAAAGAAGTCAAGAAATTTATTAAGATAAATTCTAAAAAGCAATTCTTAAATTTTCAAATATATTTTTAAGAATATTTGAGTTGTCACTGTTTATACTCTTCTTGCATCAACACTTAAAGTTGGCCTGCACTGAAGACTTTTTTTATTTGATTAAGTCTGAATATATGCTTTGGCTTTTGATTTGGCTTTTGAAATGAATATGTATTGGGATGGACTTTTGTTGTAAAATTTGTTTTATTTCTGTGTTTGTGAGATTTTTTTAAAATGTGTTTTTTATTTATTTTATTTAGGGCTGGACAATAATTCAATATCAATATGTATCGCGATATAATTCTTTTCAATAACGGTGATATTTAATTTTTTTACATTGCTATGTTCATGCTCTTATAGTATTTTTGTGTACAGCACTTAGCCTGTGCTATATAAATAAAAAGTTCAGTATTTCTTAAGAAGAACATAAGAAGCTTTAGTGTTTATCTGATTGTATGGCAGTTCTTGCTGAAGACTTGCTGATCAACTCTATAAAAACACCTCCGCAATTCCTCAGAATTATACAAATGTGCACTATTTCTGTTGCATTTTCCATGACAGGAGTTCAGCACTTTAGGTTGTTTTGTTTTTTTAATGCGACATGGAATTTAAATGTTTTTTTTTTTGTGATGAATGCTGCCAAACATAGACAGTTATCATGAATTATTAACTGAAACTTGCAAATGAAAAACGAGGTCCCTGTTTGAATTGATTTTGTAGAATTGTTACCGAATTTAGTAAAAACTCACTTCATGCATAATAATAACTGACCAATCAGTACTCATGCACATCCTTAGCAAACAACCCAATATATTTATTAGACATCTTACCTTTGGGGAATTTAAGACAAGACAAGTTTATTTATTTATTTTCGAGCAATCATAAGAAGAAAAAAAAAGATATGAAGATTCTCAAATGTTCTTGGGTTACAAAGAACTTTATTCTTAATTTGTCATGAATCTGGCCCCTGATCTGATCTGATTTGCAGTGACTTATTTGTATATGCCATATTAAATATATGAGTGGTTTTGTTGGGCTAGCAGTGATGCTTAAGCAACCTTTGTCGTCATAACTCAAGCACGTGTTTCACTTTGACCTCTAACCTCCTGTCAGATAAAGTTCCCTTTGATTCCACTGGGCCACAAACACACAACCGCACAAGGCTCTGTCTTATAGAATGACTTCCTGTAAAAGCGTTTATGTCTGTAATCAGTCTGGATCAGAGGCTGCCATGTGTCCGAAGGCTCCTCCCCATCAATACACAGCTGACCTACCTTATTTTTTTTTTTTATATTTACGTCCTGTTAATGTTTGGCAGTACAGACTGACACTGATAATTACAGGTGTTTGTGTGTGTAACCAAGCAATTGCAAGCATGTATACTCTGTGTCGTTAATAACATTTGCCCAGCTTAACTAGTTAGTGATTGATGGGTCAGTGCATTGGTAGTTGTGAATGTGTTCTCTATTATTAAATGTGAATGTGCAAAGAACAGGAAACATGTTTAACACACCAGTTAAACTATCTAGTAAGATCTCGGTGCAAAAAGTACTTTATTTTGATGTAAACATACTTTTGTTTGGTGTTCAGTTTTTACTGTCTATCAGAAAAGCATTATAATTAATGCATTCAGCTTAATGCTCAGTATTTTGTTCTGTTGCGTATCATGCATATTTTTGGAAATTGGGTGTTTAATGCACATGTTACAGTGATTACTTTTAGCTCGTTGGATAAAATGCTCAATGCCTAATATATGCTTGTATAGGAGTAAAAGGGGATTAATTCTATTTCCTGTATGTGTTATTGATTCAAGCAGACCTTTGAATGTCTACAGAGGTTTCTGTGTAATCATAAAGAACTTTATAGCCTTATAATGAACTTTACTTGAAATGAAACAAACAAGTTGGCAAATCCAGCTTTATAAAAGCACAACCATGTGCCGTGAATTTTATGCATTCGATTTTGTTCATATTGTGATAACCTGATAATGCACATTACAGTAAGTAGACTCACAGACGAGATTACAACATTTCCAAGATTGCTTTTTTTTAATTGCCTTGTAATCTTATAATTGCTGTTTACTGACCGGAACAGTGTGATTATTGCTCAAGTGACCTACATAATGATTACAAGAAAAATAAATCTTACAAATATATTTAAACATGATTTTTGTCTCTTCTGTTTGTTTCAGCTGGATTTGACTGTCCCGTCTGCTCTAAGTTTGTCTGTTCAGATGAAATAGATGTTCATTTGCTCATGTGTTTCTCCAAACCCAGACTCCATTATAACGGTAAGAACAACCTTCACTACCACACATTGACCGCAGATCACTCTCTTTCTGTCCAGTTAGATCACTTACTGTTCCTGCAATCTTGAGCTCTCAAACAGAATTAAAGCTACTTAAAAATATCTGAAATAACAAAAAACTTTTATTTTATGGTGGGCCTGCAAATTTGTTTCTGTCCTCCATTGTTTATTTCAATGCTGATTTGTTTTGTTGGGTTAACAGCGCCCCCATGTGTCATCATCTGACTCCTGCTGCTCTGAGCTTCTTTAGTGACGTTGTGATGTTTTCTCTTTCTGTAGATGATGTTTTGTCCCGGGACTCTGGTGAGTGTTCGATATGTCTGGATGACATGCTTCAGGGGGACACCATCGCTCGACTGCCCTGTCTCTGTGTCTACCACAAAGGGTATGAGAAATATTCACTAACACACACACACACACACATACCTGCTGCCGTCTGTGGAAATCATCTCATCTTCTGCTCCTCCAGGTGTATTGATGAATGGTTTGAGGTCAGCAGGTCGTGTCCAGAACATCCTACAGATTAACATTAAAACAGGTCAGATGTTAGACACTTTCCACAAATAGAGTGGTGTCACCAGTAACCAATAATTACAACAACAACAAAAAAAAGATAATTTTTTTTTCTATCTGCAGATATTTCCAGTAAAGAAGACCAGCAGAGAAGGGCTCAGCTAATGTCTTTCTCCAGGATCTGACTCTCTTTGACACTAGATGATAAATCCATCATCATCTGACACCAATATGGACTAAAACCTGCAGTGCCAAATCTAAATGAAATCATGCATATACTTTGCACAGTTCTGTTAACGAACCTGAAGGCTGTTTATCAGTAATCTAGCTGCCATCTTTACACATGGAGCTCTTTAGAGATCAGATGGGTGGACTGCAGTATTACTGCTTCATAGGTTAGGGTAACATATCAGTGGTTTCATGATCCATAACCACAACAGGACTTTGTTAAACTGTTTTTAACCAAAGTAAGAGTTGTGTAGAAAAGACATGAATGTAGAGGACGATGACTGACAGAATGTGAGTAAAGGAGGAACATGGACCTAATCGAAGATATTTTCTGTACACTTCGATTTTTGAAATTATATTTAAAATAGATGAACCAGTTGTGAATGTTTTTGATAAATGCTGTTAAAAAAATGTTTTCTAATGTGCTGCTGTGTATGTAACAGGTGCTATAACAGATAATATAAATTATCATTTATATATAAATAAATTCTAAGGGCTCTAGAATGTAAAAATGTGTAATTTTCTACTTTGTTTCTGTATGACCATTATTCTGTCCAACAACATTAGGTGTTTCTATATTATTAGTTTATAATGTGTGAATGTGTATGTATTTTTATATATACACAACTATGGAAAAGTCTTAGGCCACTAGTATTTTCACCAACAAAAATGGTTTTAATCCAGTTATTTCTGTAGTGTTTTAGCAGGAAATATAAGTCTACATTTCCAAACATTATTTTAGCCATTAATTGTAATAATCCAGTACTGTAAAAAGTTTTAGGCACTTGTGTAAAAATGCTGTAAAGTGAGGATGCTTTCAAAAATAATGCCATAAATAGATTTTATTTATCAATTAACTTCTATTAATGAAATTAAATCAACATTTGGTGTGACCACCCTTTACTTTTTAAACCCCTTTTGTCCTAGGTGCACTTGCCCATAGTTTTTCATGTTGATTTGCAAGCATTTCTTGAAGCATCTCCGAGACGTTGCCACAGTTCTTCTGGTTTTAGTCTGTTTTTTTCCTGATTCTTCATGTCATTCCAGACAGTCTGGAAGATGATGAGATCTGGGCCCATATTCACAAAACATTTTATCTTATCACTAAGAGTTCTCCTAAATCGAGGTAAAAGTTTCCAGCTAAGTTTTCTCTTAAAACCTATTCACAAAGCTGCTGAGACAAACTTTTACTAAGGAATAGAGAGAAGTCTTAAGCTCAGAGTAAGGAGGCGAGTTGACCTCTTGATATGGATGATGTCAGCATGCTTATTAACTATGCACACAGTGATTGGCTGATAGTCAGAGATTTATTCAGAGAAATACTGTACACTCTTAAAAATAAAGGTGCTTCAAAAGGTTCTTCAAGCGATGCCATAGAATAACCATTTTTGGTTCCACAAATAACCATTCAGTCAAAGGTTCTTTAAAGAACCTTTGACTGAATGGTTATTTGTGGAACCAAAAATGGTTATTCTATGGCATCGCTTGAAGAACCTTTTGAAGCACCTTTATTTTTAAGAGTGTAGAGAGCGATATTATTTTGCCTTATTCAAATAAAGTAACATACATACACCTACATAACCAAGCTCCCAACTATTTAGCTGATTTGCTGCGTCTTTATTTTCCCCAGAGAAGTCTTAAGATTGAGCGGTCAGAACCTTCTTATATACAGTACAGTAGTCCCTCACTCTAGACTGAAACTAGGAGGGGACCAAGCGTTCTCTGTGGTAGGGCCACAGTTATAGAGAGATCAGATTGGCACCTTCGTTTAATTTTTACATTTCTTTTATAAACCTTATCTTTTATCCTTGGCTTTTTAACTGCTGTGTCTTTCATGTGTTAACAGTTGGATTTTGATTGTGGATTCTGTTTAGTACTCTGTCTTTTAAGTGTTGATAACTTTGACAACTGAGCTTTTTGAGTTGGTGCTTTTTAACATCACTAACAGTCAGTGGAAAACAGCTCATCTTCCGGTTCTTCCAGGTGCATTGATGAAATGATCCTGAACTAAGAGACTGAAGAGTGTCATTGTTCTCTACTGGTTGAATCATTGTGGTGTCACAGATGAAGGCTGTGCTGCTCTGGCTTCAGCTCTGAGATCAAACCCCTCACATCTAAAACACTTGGATCAGTCTGGAAATGAAATGGGAGTTTTTGGAGTCAAGCAGCTTTCTGATCTACTGCAGGATCCTCTTTGTGAACTGAAAATACTGAGGTAAGTTTGTATAAAATGTCTCAAGATCCTCCTTTCCATGAGCACACATAAACTAATTTGAGGTACAACAGTTTTGTCCACAGAGACGGTGTGAGCCTGTGACTATACATGGACGGAGTGCATACATCCATATCACACACGCATATAACCAAATGCCGTGTTAACATGGTTTTTATGCATTACACCTTCTATATAGAGTCTATAGTTATGTGATTTATGTGCTTAATGTGTGTATCAATACAAGTTAGCAGCAGTTTTCTGCTGTAAGTATAATCTAATATCTCCTAATTATTAATAGGAATAACCACATACACACAAGAGTCATTTTCCAAATCTGTATAGTTAAAATTCTAGTTAATTTATACAGTGTATAAATTTGACGATCAAGATGGCTGCCTCGGTATGTAGCTCCTTGGTACTTTTACTATTTTTGTTTGTCCTGTTTAAAGTAGATTTTTTTCCATTCAGCTTTACTATAGGGACAAACTCCTAGACAACAGAAATAGCACACCAAATAACTTTTTGCCGACAATTGAACAATCTGATGTTTTACTCCACATTCTAGTCGGAGGAGCTGTGATCCGGTAAAAGCGCTCCAAGTGACGCAAATGAGGGAAGCGTGCTGGTGCGCTCGTGAAATTCCAACAGCGTGGTGTTAGGACTCCACTGCTGAGCATTCATCTGGCGAATCTCCTCTCCCTAGTAAATAAAACGAACAAACTACTACTCCTCACCTGCACAAACAAGGACTTTTTAAACTCTGCTGCCCTTTCCTTCACGGAAACCGGGTTGAACGGAGCCAACCCAGACAGCGCACATCATCTAACAGGTTTCCGGCTGTTCAGAGCGGAGCAGGTTATAAAGCCATCATCCAATGAGTGGAATAACCCCATCATGCTTGGACCTAAAAAAAAAGGATAATTCAGCTTTTGCCTAGACTTTCAGGGGTTCAACTCATTGAGTAAATTTGATCTTACCCCATGCCCAGAGTGGATGAGTTGATAGACAAACTTGGTAGCGCAAAATTCTTCACAACCATTGATCTATCAAAAGGCTATTGGCAAGAGCCCTTAAGTCCAGACAGCAAAGAACTTACAGCTTTCAAAACTCCATTTGGACACTATAATTTCCTGGTTCCTCCTTCATGGAGCCACTGCCACCTTTCAGAGGATGATTGATCAGATCCTCTGGGGCACTCAGGATTTTGCCTGCCACCGCATACTTGGATGACATTATCATCTATATTAAGACTTGGCAGAACCATCTGCAGCATCTCAAGGAAGTGCTATCCAGGATAAAGGCAGCTGGACTTACCATTCATCCAGACAAGTGCACCATAGCCAAAACTGAGACCTGCTACATTAGTCATGTGCTGCAATCCTATACAAGTGCTCCAAGCGACGCAAATGAGGGAAGCATGCTAGTGCGTTTGTGGAATTCCGACAGCATGGTTTTAGGCCTCCGCTGCCAAGCATTCATCTGGCGAATCTCCTCTCCCTAGCAAACAAAACAGATGAATTACAACTACTCACCCGCACAAACAAGGACTTTTTAAACTGGGACATGGAGTCGTACGCCCTCAAGTTGGTAAGGTTGAGGCCATTAAACATGCAGAGCGCCCTACAACATCAAAAAAATAGTTTTTAATGAGATTCATTTAAAAACGTGCTCATTCATTCCGGAGCGAACACCTACTGTCTTTTGCTCTGAGGATAATTTAGTTGTGGCTTTGAAAATACTTTTATTAGTGGAGTAAAAACAGAGAAAGTAACTGGCAATATTGTATTTTTAATGTATGCTATTGAACTGTTGTATCAGACTCACAATTTGTGCTGTTGGTCTGAATATCTGCACAAATTTGATTACCAGCAGCCTCGTGCCTACAGACAAATAACAAAACATCAGAACAGAAAATGTTTTTTTTTTATTTTATTTTTTAAGTTAATTAGTTTATTGGAGCACAAAATAGGAAGAAAAAATGAAGTTCTTTTTCTGCTGCCTGTGGTCAAGTAATCCACACAAGGATAAAAATGAGCAGCAACAGTGTATTTTTTGTATATTGATGCTGTGTGTTTAGGACTGTTTGTCCTGTAATAATGTTTATGTGAATGTTGTATTGCCTCTATAAATCTGTAGTTTACACATTTTATTTTATAATTGCAGTTAGTATCAGTTCACCATGCATCTTTAATCTCTACAGGTTGTGTAAGTGTGGTGTCACAGATGAAGGGTGTGCTGCTCTGGCTTCAGCTCTGAGATCAAACCCCTCACACCTGAGAGAACTGGATCTGTCTGGAAACAAACTAGGAGGATCAGGACTGAATCTGCTCTCTGATGGACTGAAGGATTCTCACTGGAAACTGGAAACACTGCGGTAAGTTGGTATAAAGGTCAATAATGAATAAAATAATCAAAAACTAAATACAATTAAAAAAAATTCATGATTATGTAATTTTAGAGTTTGTTTAATCTTCATCAGATTCTTTCCAAAATTTTGACAGTTTTTACTTCAGAACCCTCTGCTTTGTGTTGGGTCCTGATCAGGTTTATTTGTTATAAGAACCATCGAGTTGTATGTTATCTAGCTTATTATAGTACTTGCCACATAAGTAAATAATTGGAGACAAATTATTGATTTGAGTTAAAATATTTTATCACAAAACTCAATGCCAGCTAGCAACCAAACCAAGGCTAGCGAACAAGCTCAAGCAAGACGGGACCATTTAATGGATAATATACAGTTGTATCACTTACTACACAGCTTTTCACTAAATGAGTAATTTTGTAGACGAGAGATTTACTTGAGTTGAAAATGTTTCAAAAACCTACGTGTTTAGTAATCAGTTGCAGTGCACAAAAACATTCTGGCAACAATATTATATTGCAATTGCATTACTCCTTTGATTTCATTTTTAATTAAACTCATAACTGATGCAAAATAGCACATGATGTAGTTGTATACATGATGAACAGAGTACAGAACAGAGTAGACAGACCATTGCCTAACCCTAACAACCCACTGTGCTAGTTTAAGTTTCTTTTTTCTGATAGTGAAGTTCCCGCTTACCTGAGCTGTAGATCCAGAACTGAGAGACTGGAAAAATGTCATTGTTTTCTCCAGGTTGAGTTATTGTGGTGTCACAGATGAAGGTTGTGTTGCTCTGGCTTCAGCTCTGAGATCAAACCCCTTACACCTGAGAGAACTGAATCTGGAAATAAACTAGGAGCATCAGGAGTGAATCTGCTCTCTGATCTACTGAAGGATCCTCTCTGTAAACTGGAGAAACTGAAGTAAGATCATCTCTCTGAGAATCACACACATACACACACATAATATTTTTAAATAGTTAAATCATGTTAATCGTGTCTTGGAGTAAGTCTCTCTTTCTGATTGTGAAGTTTTCTGCTTATATGAGCTGTAGATCCTGAACTAAGAGACTGAAGAGTGTCATTGTTCCTTAAAGGTTGAGGTGGTGTGGCATCACAGATGAAGGTTTTGTTGATCTGGCTTCAGTTCTGAGATCAATCTCCTCACACCTGAGAGAACTAAAACTGACTGGAAATAATCTTCAAGCATCAGGAATAAATCTGCTCTCTGCTGGACTGAAGGATCCTCACTGTAAACTGGAAACACTGTGGTAAGATTGAATGAATGTCTCAACATCCTCCTATGGTCAGTATGAACAAAAATGAAAACCAAAACTTAAACTGGAGAGGAAAGGGTTCTAACATTTTTTTCATTCTTTCCAAACTTTTTGAGGCATGTTAGTGTGTCAGTCTTCAAAGAATCCTAAGCCTTATAAAACTTACTCGCCTTGTCTGCAAGTTCTCTTGGTTGTTCATGACAAAAATGATGACATTGTGGCACTAGCAAAAGTGCGCACTGACTTCACTATAGATTCCATTTTACATGGCGGTGTACATCCCTTTTTTTGTAACTTGAGGCAGGGCAACATTGACTGGAGATATATGGAAAGAGCTTGTAAGATCAAACACAAATGTATATATTTACTGAAAGTATGTAAGCATTTCAAAGAATTTTGTAGGCTTTATGGATTTACGTACAATCCCTTCACTACCTTAAATGTTTAATATTGTGTTTCATTTTAAGTGTTTTGTTTTGTAAAGCATTTAGTCATAAAACAAAACAACTGTTCCAATGCATAAATACAAGTGTTTGCCTGTTACCTTTTATTGGACGCTTAATAAAACAAAACATTTTAATGTATCCATTGCTCAGTCCCGTAGAAACATAGTCATTTGTATCGTAACATTAATAACCTATTAACATTGAGAGAACAAACTTCCAAGAAATGTAGATCCTTTATTAATTTTCCTCATAAATGTGTGCATATTGTCGGTGAATCAAAGAATAAATACGTATTATATACTTATATTTAATAAACAAATTATATTACTGAAAGTAAGGTTTTATTCTTAAAAATTGTTGAATAAATTATTTAAAGAAGCTGTTGGTGAAATGTCGAAATTGTGAGTTGTGGTGTAATAAGCATTGGCTTCTGCTTGCTTACCTGAGCTGTAGATCCTAAACTGAGAGAGTGAAGAAATGTCATTGTTCTCTACAGGTTGAGGGATTGTGGAGTCACAGATGAAGGTTGTGCTGCTCTGGCTTCAGCTCTGAGATCAAACCCCTCACACCTGAGACAACTAGACCTGACTAGAAATGATGTAGGAGACTCGGGAGTGAAGCTGCTCTCTGATGGATTGAAGGATCCTCGCTGTAAACTGGAAAGACTGCGGTAAGATTTTATGAACGTGTCAACATTATCTTTCATTTTTCTATATGAGTAATGAACAAAATTAAAACCAAAACCGATCAAAACAAAAGTGTCCTGCCATATAATTCAAGTGGATGTTTAATTGTCATGATTGTCATGTTTAAGCATCTGATATAATTTGACTGTATTTATAGTAAGCATAAACATGATCGGATAATGTAAACATGTTACAGCTGCTTTATTTCATACAGATGTTTTGAGGTTTTTGAGGTACTGACTAAAATTGTATTACTCTTTTATGACATTGAAATGAACCACCTCAAGCAGCATTAAAGGGTTAGTTCACCCAAAAATGAAAGTTAGGCTGTGTTTTACTCACCCCCGAGGCATCCTAGGTGTATATGACTTTCTTCTTTCAGACGAATCCAGTCGGAGTTATATTAAAAATTGTCTTTGATCTTTCAAGCTCTATCATTTCACTCAGCGGGTGTTGCATTGCTTCAGTCCAAAAGACGTGAAATAAAAAGCACCCTTCCATAAAAAAAGTGTCTCACACGGCTCCGGGGGGTGAACAAAGGCCTCCTGTAGCGAATCGATGCGTTTTTGTAAGACAAATATCCATATTCAAAACGTAATAATCACTTGAATCTAGCTTGCGCACTGTTGTACACTGGAAGCAGTTCCGGGGGAATTACGTATGAGGTCAGTGCTGAGCATGCACCGCTCAGAAGTGACGCTCGCGGAGAGATCAAAACAAAACAACGGTCACTAATTAGAAGTACAAAACGAGGATTTGTAAAGAAGAATGTTGGAGGATTTCGATATAAGCCAAGAGGAGGCTGGTTTTCCTTTGCTAAAGTAAGGAAACTTTGCTTCCTTTGCTCCTGTAAACAAACGTTGGTTTTCACGAGACTCACCGGCGCACGCACAACGCTGACCTCATACGTCATCCTCCTGGAACTGCTTAGTTTACAACAGTGAGCGCAAGCTAGATTAAAGTGAT